TGGATTGACAGAGGGATGTACATCGTTTCAATTCCATTGCGCGCGATAGAGCGATCAGCAGTCTCAATACAACTCCCGCGTCAACAATCAAATGTTTATTTCAACTTGCACCTTACACACGCAATGCAAAATGCACCCAGGGGCTATTGATTCACATTAACGTTGGCGCACATATCGGTGATGTATTGTTATTCCCATACGATCACCATTAATTAGCAATCGGCATCGTGAAGACCACAGACAAGACCGTGTGAAAAATAATTAGCTCGGGGTATTACAACGCACCGATGAATCGCATGCTTTACCATCTAAGGCAACGCTATGCATTTAAACGAATTTCATAGTAAACCATCGCACGTTTGCCGATTCCTACGTCCCGTGTGAATGCATCACGTGACTCAGCAGCCGCTAGATGCCGCTATCAACGTGATAAAAAAAAAGGTTATCGACGATTCATTGAATCGCCAGCATGTATGCTACTCGCATTGCTTCTGTTTTATTTCACTATACTTTGCACTCCTATCGTTGATGTTGTACTGTATGTTGTATCGTTCTGACCGCCCCTATTGGTCATCTGTAGAAGAATTTCTTCATAAATCATCGGATTTCTCCAGGATAAATAATGATTCCGATTCTGTAACGAGGACTCAATCTGGCCCACCGCTCGCCCTTCCCACGAAGCGTAATGAATTCACCAAATCGATCGAGTTTAGCTATTTAATATCGACAGCTCAAATGACACCGACTCATAGATGGCGCACACCACGACGCGTAACTCTGCCACGCGACTCATGACATGGACATGGAGTTGCCTTTCATTTCGAGCATCGGTGTGCGGCTGCGTGTGTGTGTGTGTGCATTGATCCATATTTCAAGCGCACACGTGTTATCTAGAGTAATTGGTAGTACACGTGTTCTATCGTAATTGGGAATATAGTACACGTGTCCTACAGTAAGTGCTAGTGCACGTGTTGTACAGCAACTGGCAGTACGTAAGGCACCAGGTGGTTGTACCCCTGGCACTGTATAGACTTGTCAGCAGAATGCTCCTGGCAGAATGTAACGCAATTTAGATTCGAATCGCGTCTTCATTACCGCTGCATCTAAAAACGCTGTACAAACACAGGGTGGCATGCGCATTACGGTAATGCGGACGGTAATATCGATGTAGATGAGCGAGAAGGGTCAGTGGCAGAATAGCTCCTTGATACATCTTAAGACTTGGACGTTCTTCACATGTGTGTGCAAAGAGGACTTACCGTATCCGTATTCTGCGGATGAGAAGAGACACCCCCCCCCCCCGCCCTTGCATGGTCGATGTGCGTCTTCCAACAACGAAAAACAAAAAAACAGCCGTGCATTTTGTAATTGTCAATTGTTAAAGAGGCCGAATTGCAATGAGCGTACGCTTTGGTTCAGATAGGTTTTCACATCATGCAAAATTATGTAGAAATAAGTAAAACTGTTGTGGGCCGTCAATACGTTTGGATATCTACCCTTCGCGGAAACGACAACTGTTCAAAGAAAACACGTGCAAGTTAATGTATGGAGGAGCGGTGGCGCCGTGGTTAGCACACTTGCTATAAACGCGGCCACTGCAAACGTGACTTTACCGGGGAGTGACTTCTGAACCGATTCTGTGCCTCTCCCCCCCCGACTTCCATCAACCCGCAATGACACGCGTAGTGAAGTATGGTCAAACAACGTCCACGACCGAGCGCCCGACACGACACGAGGAGGCTTTCATCCAGCAGTGGATTGACAGAGGGCAAGCGAACGCCCCATGCTGTGGCACAAGTTGCACCACGCTCGCAGCATAACGAGTTGGCACGTACGCACGTCGAACTTCTTTCGCGCCGTACATCGCCAGCCGTGCTCATCAGAGGTGCAAATGATTGCTCTGTGACCGATTACGGAGTCCGGGCGGTGTGAAATATGACGCAGTGCGCAACAAAGCAGAGAACACGCACCCAATAGAGGGCTTCCACCGCGGAACGTGAGAGCTCTGATATCGGACCACGTGGAGCAGGTAGGTAGGTACACAGGTATGTGCAGGGTGTGCAGAGTTGTCCGTGAAGAGGGATTGCGGAGGTCTTCATCCAGCAGTGGAATCGACCACGGCTGCTGATGACGATGGTTATATCAGATGTAAATGATGCACACTGAGCCCGGGGCATTTGCTCAATCGCGCACTATCAATTATTTCAACTTGTAACCAGGGCCGGATTAAGATTGTGTAGGCCCCTGGGCTACAGGCTACCGTGAGGCCCCCAGTAATATTTTCAAAAGGAAAACAATGTTAAAGAAAAATACAATTTATTTTTTACAAGGCCTACAACAAATCAAATTCAGCATTCACAAATGAAATAACTTTTGCACTTTATCTCTGGAGGCCCCTCTCCAGCTGGCGGAGGCTCCTGGTGCTGCAGCCCCTAAAACCCCCGTGCCTGAATCCGGCCCTGCTTGAAACGCGCCGCCACCACCACCGCACCGTAATTCGTTCACCTCTCGAAGAGGCGCGAGGAGGAGGAGGAGGAACCAAAGACAACCTGCGAAAGCAGCAACCACGCGGTGGACCGGCGCCAACAAATTGCCCAAGCTTTGCGGTCCACCATACGTCAAGGTGTTACCGGCACATTTAATGAGCGCATACACGTGGGATGAAACCTGGCGGAGAAAACCCTACTCGCGCGAGGGAGAAACACTCTACCCCCATACGGACGGAACAGGTGGAATCCACGTGTTGTTGCGTGTACCGCCTTCTCCTGGCGAGCCAGGGTATGGCAACATCGAGCCTCCACCAAACCCGGCTCAATGCTCGCGCCACGACGATTCATCATTCCGGGGTCGGTTGTCGAATTGGTCGGCGCGATGTCAGACGTTTCGCTCCACGTGCGTTGAGCTTCTGCAGCGGTTCCTGTGGCGATTTCTCGAGGGACTGCAGAAAGAAGAGGCAGCGAAACGTCGGAGGGCTGCGCGGATTTCCCGACCGAAGCGAGCGACGCTTCTCGCGACACGAGATCTGCAGCGCTGATTTAGTACGCTTCCCACTAAAGGAAATCTATAACATCATTACAAAATCAATTGACGGTCCCGTGGGAAACGACTGGAAATATGAGACCCCCCCCACCACCACCATTCTCCTACCCCCCCTCCCCCTTCCACACAAACCACCCGACTCCTCACTCACTCTCTCTCTCTCTCGCCGGCGCCGCGCACGACCCAGCAAGCCACTCCGCCTCGTGCACGAAACCATCGTCCAACATTGCCGCCGCCACCCCTCGCCCCCCCCCCCCATTCCGGGCCAAATGAGCCCCCCACCTCATCCCCACAGCACTAACAGACTGCACATATACGTCGAGTATTGTACACGAGACCCTTGAATATCGCGGGGGGGTTACGTTCTTGGAAAGTTCCACGTGAAGCCGAAACCGCGATATTCGATACTTACGCCTTAACTAAATAATGGGGCTCGGGACGCAGGCAAACAAACATATACGCATCTAAATTGAAATAAGCGTTGTTACTCTATGCCACGTAAACTGATAACACAATTATTGAAATAAATCCTGAAAACACTTTTACAAAAAAAACATTCCTAGACAATACAAAGTATAAATAGTGAATAGATATTGTGCAGTACACATCTCTTAACCTGGCTATCCCTCCCCCCCAGCCAAACACAACCACCCAGCCCTTCTCCATCCATCGATCCCCCCCCCACCCCCCACACACACCCCATGACGCCCCATCACATCACACTGTCACAATCTGCGTGTATGTATCATTGCATTGGATACAACACCGAATGTGGATGTAAAGGTGCAGCCCTGCAATTGCGTGCTCACCGCCACTGCGGGCGGATGGACCTCCTTTAGAGGGAGCGCTAGAGAGCCCCTCTAGAGAAGAGGTATTTGACATTCTCTTCCACGCCGACAAGACGTCTTGGAAGAGGTGCACATCTCTTAACCTCCCTCCAGCTTACCCCGCCCCAACATTCCAGCCAGCCATGACCCTCGCCTCCAGCTACCCACCTTCGAGACCCCTTTCCCCACGACACCAGAGATGACCCCCTCTATTATAACAGCCTCGCTCCGTACCCCTCCAAAGGGACATCTATCGCACAGCAACTTCGAGTGCAGCTTGTTGCTGCCCGCTTGGCGCTTTGGGGCGTTTTGCTCCTGTGCTCAGCAATCGTTGTTTTTTGTTGTTGTTGTTGTTGTTTTAAAAACAAAACAAAGCACTCATCTCCTAACCCCCACCACACCACCACTCCGCACCACTACCATCATTACCATCTCCCTCCATCCATCCCACTCCTGCGCGCAGGCTCCACGCACCCACACCACGCGCTCTCTGCTCCCTCTCTCTCTCCCTGCCCGTGACTCCACCGCCTCCCAGCGCGAGCCGTGGGCCGTTTTTCTATTCGCTGACAGGCGAAATGAATGGGCCGGGCGAAGCGAGGCGAGGTAGCCCGGGATTGGTTTATGGCCGAGCACAGCGAACACAACTCCTTGGTGCGGCACGCAGAGCCGTGCACCACCGCAGCCGCCCGCTTTAATAATAGAATAATACAAACACACGCGTACACACACACCGAGGAGAAGGCTGCGGCGGCTCAGGGTGTTCCTGACTCTGCTCGCTTGGTGCTATCGCTGCTACTGTTGTTTTTCCATTCGTATCGTTGGGAGCAGTCGTGATTATAATCATATCGCCATCATCACTGTCATCATCGTCGTCATCATCATCCTGAAGTGCGGAGCGGTCGAAGCCGGGTGGGTGGTGGTGGTGGCTCCTTGCGTGAGACGCAGCATCCACGGGCAGCTTCAACGGGGGAAGGACTGATCCTCGGTTCGGTGCAGAGATCGTTCTTGAATTGTTGACGGGAGGAATCATTAAAGCCCCCGTGTTCTGCGTGGGACGGAGCATTGCAGCACGAGCGGAAGGGGGGGGGGCGGGGGGGGCGCCGGGGGGGGCGCCGGGGGGGGGGGCACGGGGGGGTCTCGGTACTTCACGCGACCACCCTCGCTCATCAATCAAATGCGCAAAAGAGCAAAGCAACATCGGAGCCGCTGATCACTGCTAAGGCGACGCACCCGTTCTTAGCGCTAGAAAGTGCGCCTTTAAATATTTCATTTTGTTAGCCTTTCCCCATCACCCCCCTCCGCACAATCCTTCCCTTCCCTGTGAACAACCGCAGTCGAGCCTACGTACGCCAGAGTGTGCTGCTGAAGGGAGGAGGAGGGGGGTGGTGGTGGTGAATAGCGTAGACACAGGGACGTGTCTGCCGTGCCCGTCGTTCACCACGCACGAAGATGCTCGGAGCGACGCGCCCCGTGGCTCTTCTCGCCGCCGCCGCCGGCCTCCTGTGCCTCGCCTTGGCCGGGAACGGCGCCTGGGCCGCGTGCCCGGCGCTCTGCACCTGCACGGGCACCACCGTGGACTGCCAGAACCTGGGATTCCGCGCCGTGCCAAAAGGCATCCCTCGCAACGCCGAGAGAATGTGAGTAGAGAGACACGTCGCGTTTGTGATAGGGAGTGAGGTGGGGGGGTCCATGCGGGATGAGACTCGTGAGCGAGCGAGCGAGCGTGGCTGTGTGCTCTGCCACGCTTTACTACCGCAACATCCTCCTCGTCGTCGTTGTAATCATCGTTCGCTCCGGCATCGTAATCATTGTAATTGTCGTCGCCGTCGTCAGCCGATTTCTCTTCCACCACATCTAATTCTCCCTCCGTGTCCTTCTAACCGTCATTTCTTCCTCTTTCTGTGATTATCTTGATAATTGCTCTCATGTTCCACCTTCTCAGTAACATTTACATCTGCAACAGCGTCTGGATATTCCTCTTAAACATACATTTGCTCTCTCCTTCGCCTACCTCTTTCAAAGTCGATCATGATCTGCCTCAACCACCTTCTTTTCATCCGTCTAATCATCTTGATCTGTCTGCTTTTCAACCCATTATCGCCACTCCATCTTCTCCTCCTCCTCATCATCATCATCATCCGCTTAATCTTCTCATTATCATAATGATCATCATCAGCCTGTTGATTCACCACCTCCTTACTCCTCCTGTTGCTGCTAATTCTCATCGTTATCATCGACAGCCCACGCGTCTAATGAATGGACCGCCCGTGCGTGTGTTTGCCCCAAAGTTGTAAATTAACGCGCGCGCCTCGACGGCGAGAGACGGCGATCGTAGCCACGAGTTGAGAGCCGTGATGGCAGTTGGCATAAGCCGCAGAGTCACTTTATAACGAGTCGACAAAACTGCCCGCTCTAATGACACACTTGACGCCAGATTGAAAAACAAAAAGATGAGTCTCAAAACTTGACGAGGAACTCTGTTGCACGAGCCCGGCTCTTGTGCGTAATGAGCGGGCTGCAGTCATCCATTCAGCCAGAGTGAACGCTCCAAATCGTCACAAATCTAATCTGCCTCGCCGCCGACTTTGTAATTCATTGATAATGGACTTAATGACGGGCCAGTGAAGTCCAGTTGAGAGTTTATCGGACAGCGCGCCGTACACGCACCCGTGGTTGTAATTGCTTTAATCGCGCTGCTGTGGTTAACTCACATTTGTTGGAACGTGGAACGCAAAAAAAAATCATACTTCAATCATTTCCAAATCGCGTACGAATCATCTGCGTGATTGTTAATGGCATACTATCAGATGCAGAGGTTGGGGTTTGGTAAGTATTTGTTTATTTACGGCCGCTGGCGTTTCTGAACAGATTAAGGGAGCATCGTTGGCCTAACTGATGCTGTCGTAGGCTTCTTTTAAATGCTTTCTAACGGAATGGTTTGGGGGTAGAGCTGCTTATGGGGAAGAGGAGGAGGCATTGAATGTAAACACACATATTTGCCTTGAGTACATTGATGGAGCGGAGTCGTGCCTCGTGTAGACAACAATCATCGCGCTCCCCCCTCTCCCACGACAGCACGAAGATTGTTTTATTGTCGCCTTTAAATGCGCAATGGCAGTTGCACTGAAACGCGACACCGGCGCTTGAAGATGCGATTATAAAATAATAAAAAACGACGAAGGTTAGAAAAAGAAAAAAACACACACACACGTACAATCCCCTGCCCTCACATTGCATTACATTCGGCGGGGTCACGTACTCATCTCGTGTATGTATGTATATACAGTACACGCCACAGCAGTCATGTACCACGAGTCAAAGTGTGCACGGGTTGTGTTTGCCATGTTGTGAGTGCAACGTCGAGTGCACGGTTTCGCAAACTGCAGTCCTCGCGACCCACCACGCCACATGATTCCGCGTCTGCCAGTTTAGTCCCCATTCAAATACAAATTAACTCGTTCGATGATTGGTCAACACGCCCCAAGTGTACACGCTAAGCATTCGGCGGGTTTTCGCGTTATTAAGATCGAGATCTCAGTGTGCGTGCCTGTGTGTGTGTGTGTGTACACACGTATTTTACGTGACGTAGATAGCGTTAATTGCTTAGCGCGTCACGTGGGACGAGCTTAACAATCATCCGGTGCGTGCAGCGTGGAACGAGTTAATTTGTATTTGAATGGGGAGGAGAAGATGGATAAACGCGGACAGACGTGTCGTGGTGGGTCGCAAGGGACCGGCGTTTAGGAAACCCGGTTCTCATGTTTGCCTAGCGAGCTGTTAATCGCCTCGCCTGGTATACAGGAGGTCGTGGGTTTGACCCCGATCCTGATAACTGTATATTTGGAGTTTGCATGTTCTCGTCGTGGTCGCGTGGATTTTTCTCCAGGCACTTCGGTTTTTCCCTCCACATTTAGAAACATGCTTTTCAAGTGTTTGGCTGCTTTCCATTTCCAAGTAACAAGCCACTTCATTGAGCTATCATTTGTGGCCAGGTCGCTTCTGAAAAATATCTACATAGTTCAGTGGGCCTTACCCGGTAAAATAAAACTTGTACAAATACTATCGTATACATGGGCATTATCCTTGTACGCGTACGTGTGCATGTGGTTTATGTTAATAACACATTGCATAGTCCATCGTAGACATGGATTTAAAAAAAAACGCTTGTGTTTCACGCCTGCGTTCGCGACAGTGAATGTCACCAGACGAAGTGCGATGATGGGGTGCCCCCCCCCCCGTCCCAGTTGACAAGCAGATGCCCCCACACGGCCACTCCGATTCACGCCGTGACATTTGACCCTTCTTCATCGGCGCACGCGCTTAGAACGAGCAACGTGGGTTTGTTGATTGCTTACTGGCGCCGGGAACACAGCGACGCATCGCACGAGCAGAGCAGCACAACAAATCCTACAGCGCGTCACCTTGTTATATGGGAGGTGGGGGGGGGGTGTGGGGGGCGTGGATAGGAGGGCATACAAAACACTGGGGGGCTGATGGGCACGGCAATGAAATCCTGCCCGAATTTAATGGTAAAAATGAATAAGAACATTTATACACCTTTATACAGCTGGTAAATTATATCACCACCATGAAATAATCATCATCATCATCATCATCGTCGACTCGACTACAACAGTATTGACTTTACTGTAAGAATTTTGAGGGGGGGGGGGGCTGAACCTTCAGCAGATGCGAGGCGTGTGGGGGGGGGGGGCAGTCCCCTCTTGGTGCCAGCCCGACGTTACAATCTAGAACAGGGCTGCCATGCAACACAATCTAGAACAGGGATTCCACACAACACAGTCTAGAACAAGGCTGCCACACAACACAATCTAGAACAGGGTTGCCACACAACACAGTCTAGAGCAGGGCTGCCACACAACACAATCTAGAACAAGGCTGCCACACAACACAATCTAGAACAAGGCTTCCACACACCACAACCTAGAACAGGGTTGCCACACACCACAATCTAGAACAGGGCTGCCACACAACACAGTCTAGAGTAGGGCTGGCACTCAACACAATCTAGAGCAGAGCGTCCACACAACACAGTCTAGAACAGGGCTACCACACAACACAGTCTAGAGCAGGGCTGCCACACAACACAGTCTAGAACAGAATGTGGAGTTTCTAGCAATGACGACTCTTTATCTACCACCACCCGCTGCGCATGCAAAGACTAAGATCCTCCGTGTAGCCTTAACAGACTGTTGCGGCAAGTGCTGTTAGCGAGTAGCACCTATGAAGGCCGGCACGGCACACGGAGGTGAGTGGGTGTCCAACACCACGCCCGGCCGTCTTTGTATCCCCAGTGGCGATGTTTACTACACACCGCACCGGGTACTCATTTGAAACCGAGTCGACCTAGGAGGAGGCCCCATGACCGGTTCAGATAATCGTCACCGGCGTTGGCCGTGAACGGGAATCGAACTCGGGTCGCCGTGTTCGTTGCGCAGCGGAGCGCCGACCGCTGCGCCACCGCTCCCGCGTTCACGGTGCCCGCATCGTGCTCATCGGCGATCTCCGGACGTATCCGGCGCGCTTGGTGGAGGGCAGCTCATTGAAACCCGAACGCCAACAACAACAACAACAAAAATAAGTGCGCGGCTCGTAACGATTCCAAGCAGAAAAGACATCGCCCGCATCGCGAGCAAATAATTTGCCATTTGGAGCGCCGCGTGTGCCGCGGATTTACATTCAGAGTCCCCGTGCTCTGTGCCAAGCATTAACCGTCATCGGGCGTGGTGTTTTACATTGATGTCCTTGTGTGTGTGTGTGTATATGTGTGTGTGTGTGATTGAGAAAATTGCCCGCAATTACTCAATTACAGTGTCGAGATGTAGTTCTCAATGCACGCTTCACGCGAGACGCAGTTTTTTAGTTTCATTTATTTGGTATAGCCCTGTGAGCCAACGCGATGCTGCATTGGGCAGCGTCTGTGCGGGATAAATTGCCGCAAGGCACACATCGACCAAAATAAATGGTGATATACGCACAATATTGTACTTTCCGCGTGTGCGTTCGTGTGTGTGTGTGTGAGCAGTGGCGCGGTGGTTAGCGCGCGGTGCTCCAAACCCAGGCGACTCGAGTTCGATTCCAATAACAATTATCTGAACCGGTCCTGGGCCTCCCCTAGGTCGTCTCATCCTCAAATGAGTACCTAATGCGATGCGTAAACATCGCCACCAGGGATACAAAGGCGGCTGAGCACGGAGCTGGCCACCCACCCCCTCGTGTACCGTGGCGGCATTCATAGGTGCTCGCTGACATCACTTGCCCCAACAGTCTGGTCCAGGCTTTGGTGAGATTGATTACGTCAAATTATTTGTCTATGGCTCCTCCTGTTCATTCGAGAAGACATAACGGTGCCTCGGTGGGGTTTCGGTTAATAACAAAGAATGTGCATGATGTGTTTTTTTTGGGGGGTTAGATCGCGTAAATATAAATGTGTCGGTAAAGCCGCCGCCACCCGACACAGCCAACTAGTGAGGGTTGTCACGTAAGCAATACATGGCAATTCGTTACGAGTACAGCGCACCGGTGTGTTGGAGAGCAAATCCACAACATTTACAATCAGAGTATCGTCATGCTCTACATTTTGCGTACCGAGAGCGTTATTGTTATTACTTTGTCT